GTTGATTGCATCGACTCATTGACTCGAAGCCATTCCCTCACACTAAGCATGCTTGTAGCGACAGTGGAGAGGAAAAACTCCCTTTTAACAGGAAGAAACCTCCAGCAGAACCAGGCTCAGTGTGAGCGGCCATCTGCAGAGGCCGACTGGGGTTCAAGGAGACAGAAGCAGAGATACGAAAAGCAGCTGTAAAAGGCGGCACCGTCCAGTCTCATCTCATCAAGCACTGCTCAATCCAGGAATAGAAACGGTATAAAGAGAATAACCAGGATTATCCCAAACATCCACACACAGTGGCGGTTCTAGATAAAATTTACTTTGGGGGCCGCATGTTTTAATTGGGGCACAGAAAGGCATAAAGCAAAAAAACAGGGCAGTAGTTTATAATTGAAATTATTGCGGCTCTCCTCTGAATGAAGTAAAATTTCCATGTTATTTGGTTGTTCCATCTAAATTTTTTAAATTTTTGGCTTAAAATTGTTTACTTTGCCTAAAATTAAAAGTCCTTTACAATGGGAAAACATAACTGAAATAATTAGTTGCTACTAAAAGATGAAATAAAGCTATTCTTTGGAATATTATGTCTATAAACATTCATAATTAATTAATATTATATATTATTCATTTATTTTAAATGTAAATGACCAGTTTTAACCGAATCATTAGTAGAACTTTATAGTGGAGGACGTTCATTTTGCGGGTGGATTATCAAAATAGGAGGCCCACTACAAATATACTCCACATTTGATTTTATTTGTAAAAAGTATCTTGAAAATCATCCTTCCCAATCATCCACTGCGTTACATATGAAACATACAGCAAAAGGCATCAAATTCCATGGTTGTAATTTGATCATTTCCAGAAGAAACACAATGATTATAACAGTTTTTTATCTTAAACTGGTTTCTGGTTGAGATATTGTCTGATTTATAGGAGGGGGAATGTGGTCGAACGCAGTGACAACTGTTATACATAGATGCTGAAAGGTGTTAAGCAGTTAGACTGAAGTCACCGAGGCTTTTAGAGGATCGGCTGCTGAATAAAACATAATCTGGGCTGATGTGAAAGGAGTGAGCATCCCTGTTGGAGCCCGCGTGTCTGTCTAATGAGATGTAATTGGCTGGTGGAGCGGAGGGGGTGTTGATGGAGGTGACCTTATCCACCATGCTTCCAGCCATCCCCTCTGCTTTTGTTTTCTCTAAACTCAAACACAAAGCCATGCAGATGTGTGTCAGGGAGGAAGCGGCGTTTCAGAGCTGTTAGCTTAATGCAGATGAGGCTGAAATTAGGGGTTGTTGTTTTTCTCCGCGCTCTTGATTCACCGTGGCGTAGAAATCATCAATGAGGCGAGGAGAATGGAGGAGGGGGGGGCAAATGTGGAAATGATTACAGTAAAGAGGACAGGGGAGGGATCTCGTTTTGCTCTCCGTTTGGTCTCTTCTGGCCTATTTACTCATTTAGCTGCCTCTGGCGTAGGAACACAGGCCGCCTGCAGATGACGTGTGAGGTTTACGAACAAAATGTGCCGCTGATTTACTCCGCGTTAAAGGAACACGCTGCAATCACTCAAACGTTTGACTCCAGGTTTTCGTCTGCGTTGCATGTTTGCACCATTAGCTCACTTTATAATTAAAACTGCAGAACAGCTTGATCTGCAAACTGTGACATGGTTTGGAGACAGCGAGCAGATTGGATTAGAAGATCAGGAACTGGAACAGGAAAGTTAGGTGAATATTTTAAAGGAATCTCAGACGTACATTTGATTATTTCTTACTGAATACATACAAGGATGCATGTTTAGGTTAACAGACGGCCTTGCAAAAGTTATAATATATCTTGGTTATCATGCATTTAGCATTTACAAGCAGCTAATGCTTACTTTACGGATCGATTAATCTAAAAGGACATATTTTTATTAAATTATTTCAAAATAAATAAATGTTTGGAAATTAAAATTAATATTTATTACACATTTTAATTAATGTCATGTACATGTTCTTATAAATGTAATTATATCATACATAGATTAAAGGAAGATTTCTCATTTTAAGTGGAAAATGTTTTATATTTTTTTTTGCAAAGTTTTTTGCTTAAACTTGGCTCCAGGTATGTTATTCTTTCAACAAATAGCGTGTTTTAGTCTGTTGCTTTACTACAGGTAAGGTTCTGATTTGATTACCTAATTAGTTGATGATTAATTCAACAATTGATTAATCTGATTAATTGTTTCAGCCTTAATTTTGTTGTGATTTTATGGGATAATAAAACAAAACAGGGTAAAGTAGAATAAAAATCATTCATTCCTTTTGTTAAATCAGTTTTAATTTAAGCTCATCTCAAATACAGCTTTTACGAGAAAATATTAGTGGCTTGGTAAAAAAAAGAAGTAATGATTTAGCAAACAGGACCATGGAGACCTAAAAACACTTTGGACAGCTCAGGTTTGAAGCTGTGCAGAAGTTTAAAGTATGAAATATTTGACAGAAACTAACTCTGGTGGTGGCGGCAGCATCATGCTGTGGGATTGAGGAACAAGACAGATGAAGCTGAATACGGAACATTTTGAGGAAGTTGAAATGTTTAAGGCTGCTAAAAATGCAGACTGGGTACGTTTTTTCTACTGGTGCACTTAGAGCCAGACGTTTAATCAACGTCACAGACAGGGGCGGATTTAGGAAATTCGGGGCCCTAGGCAAAGACAGGCAGGGGGCCCTCTGAATTGAGAAGACAAGACATAAAACAGACCCATTATACAGATACAGAAATGTTTATAGAATACACAAACATTATTTGTTCTTCCTTTGTCCCTCTCTTCTTGTCCCCTTTCTTGTTGTTTTCTCTATGTTTTGTACTCAGCTGACTTTTCATGCTGTCTTAAAAGGAATCAAAGGTTTTCCAATCACTAAGCCCATTCTAACTTAGCTGATTGCTCCTTCCTGTGTTTCCAAAAAGGCGACAGCAAAAGTAAATAACCCAGTCCTTCTTTTCACTGTAGACAAGCCATGATCTGCTTATCTGTTCTCCATTTAAATGAAATAATAGCTGCATGAATCATGACAGCAGACAAGATAGAGGAGAGCAGGAGGCGGGGTTACCAATCTACTTGCTCTGGAGAGCAGAGTTCGCTGCTTTTAGATGTAGTCGCCAAAGTCTCCAGTAGCAGAAAAAAAGTCACTAGATTTGGCGCTAATCGCTTTTTTGTAATAAAAGTGCTAGAGGGGTCTGAAACGTCACTAAATGTAGCAACAAAAGCACTAAGTTGGCAACACTGCTCTTTGCACCGTTTGTTTTCAAA